ACTTTGAGAGAGAAAAGCAAAAAAGTTCCTTCTTTAGGAAGGAAGTTTTTTAAAAGCAGAGTGAACGATCAGGCAAGATCCTGGAACCTCCTTTTTTTTTTTTTTTTTTTTTTTTTTTTTTTTTTTTTTTTTAAATAGCCTGAATCTCCAACAGCCACATGGAAGTTCAGGCTCCAGCTTCCACCGAGAAATCTTTTTCTCCTCCAGATCTGAAGACAAAAGGAGAGGAGGCCGGGTGGTGAGCGGGATATCTCTGTTAGTTGTCAGCGCAGGTCCATGGGCTGGGAATGCTAATGAGCCTCTTGGCCAGCTGAAGACGCGGTTCTCTCTGGCAGACCCTGCCGCTCACACACACACTCGGGCTCCCGCCTGCCGACTGACAAGCACACAGACAGAGCCTCGTGCTCGACCCTGTCTCTCTCCTTTTTCCTCTGAGCCCAGAGATCGATCGCTGACCCCACCATTGGGCCAACGCTTTATTTATCTGGCTGCGCAATGATATTATCAGCCTTAAACGTTATATACAGCAAATGTCTTCGTAAATCAACACAATAGGATAGCCTGCAGAGACCAGCCTGGTCTGCCTTAAAGAAATCCCTCGCTATCTCTCTCTCCTTCTCCCTCTCCCCTCCCTTGCAGACACCCCTTCTCCTTTCCATCTTTACAACCGGGGACATTTAAGACGCCGGACTTGGGGATTTGATCCCTTGCTTCCAGCCTGGTTGGAGAAGGCCTTAGCAGACTAGGAGACGGATAGACACCATTATCCACCCATCACTGTGATCTCCATCAGAGGTTCCCTTATCAGCCGGATCCAACTGCCTAGACCTACTCTGTGGACAAGATCCGGATTTCTCAAAATTGGGGCAGGAGAGAAGGCGAGGGGTGGAGTGTGCCACCTTGCACCGTGTTAATTGTTTTCTTTCCTCTCAATTACATTCACAAACCTCTTTTCTGCGTTGCATGTTATTTCTTTGTGCTTTAAAATTGAAACCACGTGCAGCCTTCTCCCCTCCGCACACACAATAAATGCGCTGCCCCCTCCCCCAACCCATCACACAACTATTTACATCTTGGTTACTCACTCCAGCTCCGGCCCGAAGAGGAAATTGGCCCCTTGGGACTAGGTGAGGCTTTGTGAAAGCCTATCTCAAAGCCATGTCCTGGGCCCCCAACTCCGGGAGAGGTTCCTGGGCCCCCCTCCCGTGCCTCCCTTCCATCCTCGCCTTGCACAGGTGGTTGAGGCTTCCTTTGGGGAGAGCTAGCAGGGGGACATCCAGGGAGACAGGCAGCTGTGTCTGGCCAGGCCCATCGGCTGCACACACACGGGCGGGGGCCAGCGGTGGCGAGGGAGCCTCTGCCGCGCCCTGTCCCAGCTCCGGGCGCAGCGCAAGCCGCGCAGGCAGCAGTCGCGCCCGGGGAGCCCTCCTCGCCCAGGTCCTCCCCGGCAAAGAAGTCCCACCACAAATAAATAAATCAGTAAATAAACAGATAGACAAATAAATAAATAATCTCCAAAGGGGGAGGGGGAGCTGGGAAATGGCTTCGCTGACAGGGAGAGATAATAAATGAGAGGCGCTTTCAGATAGATATCTCAGACGTGAAATTGCGCCCAGCTGGTTGTGTAAGCAAACAAATAGTTTCATGTTAGGAACTCTCAACTTGTGGCTTGATGAATAGAACACGACAGAGGTAAATGGGTCTTTAACTCATTTAGGAATACAACTCTTTGGCTTTCCAAGTTAAAGGCGCGGTGACGCGGCGGACGCCGAGCAGGCCCTCTAACAAGAGTTTTATTAGTTGCCACTTGTGACTCCTGCACACCCACCCCACGCTCCTCCGTGCTTCCCCCTCTGCAGATGCGCATCCAGGCGACTTGTCCTGAGGGACCAAGGAGCTTCTGGAGGTGACGCTACACTGTGGGAGATGTAAGGACTGCCTGGGAGAGGGAGGAGGAGAGGGAGGAGGAGGAGGAGGAGGAGGAGGAGGATTTAAAAAAATAAACTTTTTGCCCGCTCCAAGCAGACAAGCTCAGGTGGGTCCCCAGTGCCCCTGAACGCACAGCCTCTGGGACCTGGTCGCCAGAGACGGCCAACCCGCACCCGCCGGAGGGGCAGGGGCCTGGAAACGCAAGGTTGTTCGCGTTGCCCCACCCCCACCCGCACCCCGACCCCACCCTGGGGACCCGCCACGCCTGGTAGCAGATTGGGGTGTGCCCGTCGGGGCAAGGTCGTATTGGAACCCCCTCGCGCCGGTTCCTGTCCGGGCCTCGGAGGAGGCGGAGGAGGCGCAGCCGCACTCCCCAGAGATTCCCGCAGGAAAGCGCCCGGGATGGCCTTTCTGATGTTTTAAGGTTTAAACAGACTTCAAAGCCCTTAGAGTTCTGGTGGCTCCGCCGATGTTTCGGTGGGAAAGGGGACGCTTGACTTGCATATGTCACAGGTAGTTTCCAGAGAAGAGTCCTCCTGCGAGGGCCGCTCTGTGCAGAGGCAGGTCGCTGGCCGTGGGACCCGTGGGCCCTGCCTCGCCCAGGCACCCAGCCTCCGCTACCACTCCTCAGGGCGGCCAGGCAGGCCCAGGCCGCGGGCGTCCGGGAGGCCGGCTGCCGCCCCTGCTTGCGCCGCACACCGGGTGCCGGCTCCCCCTGGCGCTCAGCTCACCGCTGGGGGGACTCCGGGCGGCCACCCAGGCAGCGACTCCCACCTGCGCCGCGTCGCCTTCTGCCCCGTGGCTTCCAGGGCCGAGGAGGCGCAGGACCCGAGAGGGGCAGCCTGGCTGCTGTGGAGCTGCCCTCGGCACTCACTGCGGGCGGCCCCGCGCCTGGGCCCACGGGTCAGCCCTGCCCCGCAGCCTGTAGATCGGAGCCCCAAGGGCGATTCCTGGTGGCCAGAGGCTCACGCCGTGGCTCTGATGCCTGGATCTGGGCTCCTAACCCTTCCCAGGACGCACAGCTGGAGAAAGCCGTCTGTCCTGCCCCTCGGACGCCCGCCAGGCCCCTGAGTCCGGGGAGGCTCTGTCTCTCTGGCGGAGACACGCAGAGACCTCTGAAGACGTCTGTCCCTGTGTGTAATGCCGAGGACTGCCCCAGCCACCACGGAGCCAGCAGAGGGGAAGCGCACTGCTGCCAGCCCCCAGCCTGCCCGCCCAGCCCAGGCGCCGAGCACCCCTTCCTCCTCAGGCGCGGAGCACCCCTTCCTCCTCCCTGGTTTTCAGCCTGAGCCTGAGGGGGCTCTGTGAGGCCTGGGATGGGCTGCTCCTCTTCCTGCGCTGGCTCTTCCGGGGCAAGGCCCCAGGGACTCCCAGGCAGTGGGCAGTGGGTGACACTCCAGCCTGCCTGGCACAGCCACGTTAGTACTGACACCTCTGGGCCCTGGAGCAAGTGCCTCCTCCAATCCAGGCCTCGGTTTCCGGCCAGTCCCACACTGGGTGCCTTGTGCTTGGGCCTCCATATTGAAATTAATTGAAAAAATACGTTTCTGACCTATGAAAATGTTTATCTGTTTTCATCAGAGGGATCACACTGTAATGAATATATTTACATCTCATTTGGAGAAAAGCAGGAAAGAGGGGAGCTCTTGGTGACACAGCTTGGCTCCCCCCCACCCCAACCCCCGCAGCTCCTCCATCAGCCCGAGGACTTCTTGGGAGGCGATCAGTGGTTAAATCTGACCCGACTGCCTTGGGTTACCCTAGGTACAAAGACAGAGCTCCTGAGTGCGGTGGGAGGATGAGGGACATTTCTGAGTGGGACCAGTTGGAGGGCAGCAGGGACTCCACACTCCACACGCCCTGTGGTAGGGCTCCGGCAGTCTGCAGGCAGGCTGGCTGGGATCATGGACCTGCAGGGCTTCTCCACAGAGCGCACGGCATTGCCTGAACTGTGCTCTGCCCGGAGTATCCACACTCCAAGCTGGTTGGAGTGTAGGAGCTCGTTCATGCGTTTTTAAAGGAGTGGGGTGGGGACCTGGAGACTTCTAGATAGCAAGTTGAAAGCAAAACTTTGCCAATTGCTTCTAAAAGTGAGTCGCTAGCCTGAAAAGGGCCTGTTTGGGGCTGGGGAAGGCGGGGGGGGGGGGGTGTGAGAGTTGTTATTTTAAAAGATCTGGCTTTATTAATACGGGAAGAAAAAAGCTCCTTTGGCAGTGTGTGTTCTCGAAGTGCCGCCTGTGATCTGTAAAACAGCCCTGCTCTGAACGCTGTGTGAGAGAGCAGAGATGCTCACCCCAGCACACTCGAGGAGAGGCCTGGCGGGAGGGTTCTGCCCTGAAGGGGCCACTAGGACCCAAACACCCTTCTGAAAAGGACCTGCTCCAGCCTAGCTCCCCCACTCCCAGTTCCCAGGCCCACAACACCCTTAAGGCCACAGCAAGGCCCTTCCACCCACCCAACAGACCTGGAGGGCCCTGCATGGGACCCGTAGCAGGGTATGGAAAAGGGCGAACCCTCGCCACCTCTGCAGGGGACCATAGAGGGAGCAAAGCCAGGGCTCCCAGCTCTGAGGCCCCACCTCTCCCAGAGCTAGGGAGAGGCCAGACCCTCCCATCACAGGCATGAGGTACAGAGGTGCCTGAGCAAAGCTTTCCCTCCCTTGACCCTCCTCTTCTAGTGCTTCACACCCCTACAGCCAGGCAAGACCCACATGCAGTCCCGGAAGCAAGTGGTGCCTGAGCCTGGACCAGCCATATGACCAGGTTTGCCAGCCTGAGGCCCAGCTGCACGCAGGCCCTCTAGCAGCCCACCACCACCACCCACAAGGTCACATGGGATGTTTGCAACCAAGGCTCCCTGTCGTCCGGGACCACAATGGCCCACGCAGAGCCTGGCCCTCTGAATTTACAAAACCAAGCAGTGACTTGGTTTAGGAAATAAATCTAGCCAACTTGGTAATAGACCTTAAAAGTTTCCCCCTCTTAACCCCCCTTCTAATAAGAATTGGAGTGGAGATTAAGTGGAGTGTTCTTTTGCACTGATGACATCTGTCAAACAACCAGACGCATGGGTTTTGCTAAATTCTTTTATTTTTGTTTAAATTTTCACTTCAATTTTAATTCTTGAAGAACAGCCTTGACAACATATATCGCACTCATTATAAGAAGCAAAGGGTTATATCAAAAATTATTAGTATAGAATCACAGGAAATCTGGTTTGGAACCAGAAAAAAATACAAAACAGATATAGATACATAGACACAGGACAATTTTTTATAATTATTTGGAAAATGTTATTTTCCCCTAATTCTTGTTTCCTTTTTTATGTGCATACGATGTTTAAATTTTACAAAAAATGAAAATAAAGACTAGTATCTTACAAAATGAATAACCATGTTTGGGGGTGCGTGTGTGTTTCTACATAGGATTCAGTCCACTTCCATGTGTTGTTTTCTGTACAGAATATATCCACATCCGTCCACAATAAATCCTGGAAGGTCCATTAGTCTCCTTCTGTTTTATTAAAATTCTCATGGTCCTCTCTTCCAAAGATTGTTTTCTTTTTCTCACCAGACACAAGGTCCTTTTCCTTTCCTTTCCAATGTGTTCACAGATCTGATCCTAAAAGAGTCTCTTTTTCTCCTGGATTGTAGCTTGGGTTGCATTTCTGTAGGGTGGGCTGCTCCTGCCTTCCCGGCCCTCCTCCCCCCTGCCCAGCCTGCCCCGCACGCTGCACCCTGCATCAGCTGCCCGGTCCCCCAGGCTTTGGAGTCCATGGCCCCCGCAGGTCCTCTGAGTCTCTAAGGAGGTGGGGGCAGGTGGGAAGTGCCCAAGGATTAGGAACACTGGATGGACATGTAAGGCCAGTTGAAGCTGCTCCCAGACAGTAACATATCACGGATGAGAGTTTCGATGGGGGTTTTACCTACCAAACGGACGAAGAACAGCTGCTCGATGACCGAGGAGGACACTGTGCGCAGGGAGGGCAGGCGCAGCAGCAGTTTGCCGAAGCGGCTGGGCTGGTTAGGGTACTGGCTCCTCACGTACTCCTCCAGCGCACACTGAGACTTCTCCTGCAGGCTCTCGATGTGGGCGGCGTCCGACAGGCCACAGGCATCTGCCCAAGCAGCCACAGGAAGGAAAGACAAGGGGAGTGGGCACAGGGTTAGGTCCGTGAACAGCAAAAGCACAAACAACAGGCCATTAAAATAATCTTTTTTGAGGAGAAAAGGAGAAAAAAAGAAATAGAAGAGAAAATGAAAGAAATCCACCCATCCATGCTTCCCCACTCTTCGACCAGCCCCAAAACAAATAAAATAAACCAACCCCCCACCAAGCCTAGGGGAGCTGGAGAGAGAAGCACACACATACAGAGGCAGCAACCTCTCTCATCCCTTTGTTTTTCCTCGTCCACCTTTGGATTAAGTAAGTACGGTGCTGGAGCCATGTTTGCTGTGGTAGCAACCTGTCCTCTGCCTGCAGGGGAGCATCCTTCCACTGTGCTCATTAAGGGGAGGACTTTGGCCCCACTCCCCCCTGCTTTCTGGGTGTTCAGGAGCCCTGAATGTGCAGCCTGAAGGCAGTTCTTAAAGGCTCCGTGGAGTCCCCCTCCCAACAAATGACCCCAACCAGAAACCTTAAGGAGCACCTGGATTGTGTAGTGAACAAACACTTAAGAGCAGGCAAGGAATCATGGGCTGGCAGTGCCTGGAATCAGATCAAGCCCAGGCTTTAGCAAGAGAGGATTTGAGATCCACTATCCGTGCAAGCAAGGACTCCGCAGCAACGCCTTGGTGAGGGTGTACACTGCTATCTGTGCCTTAGATCAAGTAATTGAAAATTGGTCACATCTCTGTAAACTGTGTAATAATCAGGAAGAATGTGGCTCAGTGACCCCAGGCTGCAGAAAGGAGACAACTTTCGTGATCAGACACAAAGCTGGGTTAGAGGCAGCAGCAGCTGCTGCTGCTTCAAACTGGAAGATGGGGAGTTGAGGGGGGATTTGGGGAGATAGGCTTCCTTTACAGGACCAACGGGGGGGGGGGACCTACACGCAAGGACGGCATCTCAAAACCTGTGTGTTTATCTCACATCAACCAAGGCTCCTCTTGGTCTCCTAAAAATATTTCAAGACAGCAGTTCATACTATATCAACTAACTGGAGGCAAGCAAATGGAGGGGATGGTGGAATCAGCGGAATGAGATGAAGGCTTCCTAGTTTAAATGCCTGTGTTGTTTCTTATATTAATAATGAATATTTCAAAAACAGGAAGATCACAGAGGAACCCTTAGCCAGTCAGGAGGTTGACTAGAGATCAAAGGCAGAGTTTGCTAATATATAGATCTGGGAAGAAATCCATGCGTGGCGATGCCCCTAAAAGGACATTAGATATTTGTGAATGGGCAAGTGTGACCCTACAAAGACACAGCAAATGATTCAAAGTGAAACCTGTGTCTGCTGGGTTTCTGAGCTTTATGTCTTCACATTTTAAGAACTGGGGTTTACAAAACATTATACCACCTTCATTTACAAGGCTATGGCCTTGAGCAAAAATACAAATAAAACTAGTGATGATGATTCAAGAACTTCTGAGGCAAGTGTCCTTTGACCCCAGATCCAGACTGGGTTCCTGTCAGATGTCTAATTACTCCAGCCAGCTGCTAGGGTGCATCCACACCCGCCTGCCTTGGGAAATCAGTCAGGTTTTATGGCTAGCAGGGCGAGGGCAGGAGCACTTTGGGGCTTTGCTCCTTAGAGAAGGGACCCTGAGGTCTGCCCTTGGCCCTGCTTGCTAACCTGGCTCTGCTGAATAGCCACCATGCATGCAGACTCATATTTACATATATCTTGCTTTACATGCATTATCTGCCCATTATACGTCAGGATCCCTTTCAGCCTCAGACAATGCAAAATGAAAAGGACCCACTGATACCCCAGCAGATTTTTTTAAAAGACCCATATGGCATCCCCTCAGGTCCGTAAAATATTTATCTGATATTTATGACGAGGGACCCCAGAGTGCAAGGTCACTACCCTTCTCCCAGCTAGGCCACTCCAGGGGAGAGAAGCCCAGGAAAGTCTTGCTTGGGCCCTGTGCTGGCTGCTTTGATATCTTTCCTCCTTTGAAGGCAGAATGCCTGTAGCTCAGCGGACTGCCAGGTGCCAGGAGGCAAGCCCCATGGCCCTAGTCCGGGCCTGGCTTCCCAGTGTAGACAGCCATCCCCAATCTGGATATTCCTGCAACAGGATTCCCCCAACTGTGGACAGACGGTGTGAGCTCTTAGATGGATTGGGTGGTTGTGGTAGCAAAGCGAGGTGAGCAGGGGGTGTAATGTAGTCCATATTTATACGCCATGAGTTATATATACCCCAGATCAGAAAAGGAGTCAGCATGTGCAAAATCCATGTCTCACTTTTTATATGGCAGTGTCAATGTGGGAAACCTCAATATTTCTTCTACAGTATATGGAAAAGAAATTATGTAAATAAATAACCATTACTGTTCAGGCCCTCCCGGCTTAGCCTTTGTAGTGCAGAGAATGTATTTCATGTTGTGCATTCAGAAGAGTTTAGTGTTCAGGAAATATAGATGTAATCAGCTGCCATAACTAGAAATCAAAGTTATTATTGTACTGAAAATGGATTTATTGTATTTATGTTAACTAGATGGCTCCTTTCAGGGAAGGTCTCATTTATTTGAGGGAATATTTAGGTGTATGAATTAATGAATTTTTTAAAAAAGTAAGTTCAGGTCATGACCTAGCCTTTGGATGCTGTCCAGAATATTAAGGATTAAGCATACCATCCGGAGGCCAAATGTGAAAACCACCACAGGGAACCCCTGTGCCAGCTTCAAATACTTAACCGGAGCAAACCTCATTGGACAATATGTCTAAAACTGTCTTTTCCATCATTCAAAGTTTGCTCAAAAGTTGGATGACTTTGAGAAGGCTTCCCATGAATTCCCTTCTGGCTGGCAATCAAAACAAGTTTAGTCAAAAGTGGAAATGTGTTGTATGAAAGAGGGGGGTGAATTACTACTGACAGCTCTATTTCCATTTTCAGATACTCTGCTTGCAATTTTCCAGCAAAATAATGTTATTGTTCACTTCTTGCCTCCCCCTTGCACCTTGAAGACTTGAAGAAACTTCTTTGGGACTTTTTTTTTTTAAAGAAACATGTTTCACAGGGATGTTTTAGGATGAAAAGTTGAAAGAAAAGCTAAATAATTCCACAGTCTACTCTGCAGCCGGCACAGTCCTCGCCTCTCTCTGGGAAAGGGCAGGGGATCAGAAAAGTCAAGGGAGTTCAAAGAACCTTAGGAAGGACAAGGACAAGGGAGGGGAGACCTTTCTTGAGAAGACCTCTGTCCAGCTTCAAGTCACATATCTGCTTCAAGACACCTCACTGGATGAGATTTAAAAACCCCAGCCTCCCTGACACTGGCTTGCTTCCTGATTAATTTGGCTAAAGAGCCGGGGAGCGGAGAGCCAGCCAGGCCCAGGCCTGCCAGAACTAACGCAGCCCGGTCATTGCTTCCCAGGCTCTTTGTCACTTGTGAAAAACACGTTTCTATCAAGAAGACTTATTAAGATAAAACGCATTCAAACACCAAGGAGGCTATTCAATAAATCTTCCATTTGTTTTAAGGTTCTCACTTTATCCTCTTGCAAAGAATAACTCCCTCTCCCACTAGCAGACCTGTATTTGCACTGAAAGTAAAAGGGGGGCAGTCCAAGTCCACAGCTCTGGCCACCCTGCATACCAATGAGATGCTCTTGTCTAAATAAATTATCTGCTGCTCAGATCGATATTAATACTACATTTGCTACATTACAATATTGTGCAAATTTAAGAGTCATTTTAATACAACGTAAATACGATTCTTCACGCATGAAAGCCAAGAAATACTGATAGATTACACCACTGCTTACTGTTCAACAAGGCCTTGGGAAAGGGGTTTCGCCACCTCTGCTCAAGAATGGTTTTAATTTGGCCTTTGGGTGTCCTGGTTCTAGGCTAGATTTATTAGGATAGTTTATTTGTTCTCTGAATGGAGGAATTAAAAACAATAGTGGCAATCCTGGAGGTAAAATTGCAGCTAACCCTCCTCACAGTGGGCAAGGCTGAGCCCCAGTCTGGGCAGCTCTGTTCCCCACCAGCGTCCCTTCTGGCTTTGTTTATATTTCCCCCATTACCTGCTGTCCCGGGTGTTTATATGTTTCCCTCTTGCAGGTTACAATAATAAAAAAGGCGGGCAGTGTTCTCAGAGGCTCAGACCAGAGCCTTCAAAGGCAACGTTAATGCACTTTCCTGGAAGTTAATTTGAACCATCTATCATAAGAGAAATTGTTAACATGCATGTTACCGCCGCCCACATTTAATTTGATATTTTTAAGGCACTCTGTTAAATTTCCGATGTTCAAGTGTTTTGCATGGCGATGAGATTTACCTCCGGGGCGGGGAGCCTACCGCACTTCTGGATTCTACAGTCTTGCTTTTGTTTTTATCTTTCTTGTTTAGATCGAATCCGTTTTTTACGACCCTCAATAACCCCAGCAACTGCAAACATGAATGGTTTCCGATAAGGGAAAATCAGGCAGCAATAAAACGGGATTATTTATGATTTACTTGTGCGTATTCTTCTCTTTCCACCTGTGTGTGTGTATATGTATGTGTGCGCGCGCCTCTCTATCAGGAAACTCATCCAGGGAGCGTGCCACACACAGGAGAAAGCCGCATTCCCACGTTCTTTCCTTCCTTCCCCTCCCCCAGAAACACACACACACACACACACACACACACACACACACACGCACACGCAAGCACACCGCACACACGCGCAGCCAGACGATCCACAACACCGCCTCCCCCACGAGACACGCACCCGCCGCCGCCCCCGCGCGGGGGTTCAGGCCGCTAGCCCGCCGCCGCCTCCGCGCCGCCTCCTCTCCCGCAACGCCACGCTCTCAAGATGGCAACGGCCCCACCGGGCCGCGTCTGTGCGCCGGGGGCCGCGGGTCGGGCCAAGGCCCCAGGTTCCGGGGAGGCCCGGCCGCGCGGCCGCAGGGCAGAAAGCCGGCCCGGCCGAAAAGAGGCTGCGGCGGCTCCCCGCGCGGCCTGCCCTCCCAGCGACCGCAGCCTCACCTGACGTGAACAGCACGATGGCTTTGAGGCAGCTGTACTCGGCCGAGTCGACGTGCAGCGCCTTGAGCTTCTCCACCTGCTCCTGGAAGATGCGGATGTGGTCCATGAAGGCCACGACGCGGTCGGCGGACATGGGCGAGGCGTGCAGGCCGGCGGCGGCCAGCAGCGGCGCCACGTGCAGCGGCATGGAGCACTGCGCCGCGTTGAGCACGAACAGCTCGCTCCAGGTGAGGCGGAGCAGGGACACCTGGTCGGTGATCTGCAGATCCGGGAAGAAGGGGATGTTGCGGGCCCACTCGACGGCGCTGAAGAGCAGGCGCGCGGCCAGCTCGCAGATGTTCTCGATGCCCATGATGTTGTTGGGCTGCATGCACTGGCTGCCATAGCGCGAGGTGGGGTAGGGCTCCGCGCGCAGCAGCAGAGAGATGTAGCCCGACAGGTAACAGTGGCCGTTGAGGGGGTCCCCCGTTGGTGAGCGCGTACTGGCCTGGATTGGGTTGGGTTGGAGGCATTCTTCCTCGCTGAACCGCTGACAAAAAGAAAGAGAGAAAAGAGGCAATGTGCATCCAGGGGGCTTGCGGACATAGCCGCGCTGCAGAGCACCCGACACAATGCGGAGGCTCTTCCCACAGTCATACGCTCCCGGCGCGTTTCCTCTTGCGCTCGCTCTTACGGCCTGCACCAGCAGGAAACCTGGGGTGAGGCCCTCTTGCTCCGCCGGTCCATCGCCTGCGCACCTGGTCACCCCAGCCCCGCCAGAACTAGGCCTGACTTCAGGGCCCCCAGGCCCCGCAAGCCCAAGAAAGTCCCACCCAACCCCTCTACCGCCAAGGAGTAGCACGCAGATCAATGAAATCCCACTCACCCCCTCCAGAGTGAAACAAATCAGTGTAGAAAACAAACAGGAGGAACCAGAGAACGGTTGTGGTTCTAGGCAAATGCCTAGCTGCCTCTTCATTTGCAAGCAAGCAACATTTTGCTCAAAATGCTCTCATATTCTCTAAAAATGCCATAGAATTACCCTTAAAATAGATACAAGTTACATATGCTACTAATCACTTACAACTTTTCAATAGAAAACAAGTATCCTGCTTCCCTCCCCTCTCCTCTCCTCCCCATCGCCCCACACAAAGTTCTCGCTGTTAAAAGCAACAGAAAATTGAAAAATTTCAAAAAAAAGTTGAACTTACAGTAGCCAAACATTATGGGAAAAAGTAGGAAATATAATTAATGTCTGTCCTGCGTGGTGCCACTGCAACCTGCAGCCAGCTTTTGCCCAGTGAATGCACGAGCTTGCAACTGCAAAAACACTGGATTCATTAACCATCTGAATGCAAAACGTAAGCATGCTTTGAGTTCTTAAAGCTGACCAAAGTTTTTTTTTTAAATGTGTATGTTTTACTTCAACAGTGCCAGCGTTTTAAATTGCCATGTAAACAAAGACAACTCTAGGAAAAGTTAGGGCTACTGAACTCTCCCCCCAACAAATTAATGTAGATATGTCCATGTACACGTAGCTGTCTTATTTCAGGTTGTGCACTGTTTTCTTAAGTTTGCTTTGATTCCATTTTTAATGCAAGTCCCAGTGCAATTTCAGCTCTTGAAACATAATGGCTAGAATACTTTTTTCTAATTATAGTTTTGAACTTGGCAGTTATTTTTCAATTAAATGACAGCACAATTCAAAGTTGTTGTTTTTTCTCCCCCCTCCCCCCAGATGCCTACAAAATCTTCCTGGAGCTAGAAATGAAGTCGTCATATTTGCCTGCTCTTTGAGATCTGAAGGAATTCAATTTCTTTTCCTGTGGCATATAAAATATAATTTTAAAGTCAATTACAAGAAGGAGTAATCTGCATTCTGCAAAATTGACTGGTTCGCTAATTTGACTATAAGACATCTTTAATGATTGTCAGGAGATAAACTTTAACTGTAAATGGCTAAATATATTTATAAGAAAAGTGCTGCATCTCTTGCCACATGAACATGAAGCATATCTAAATACAACATCAAAAGTTGCGTTAAAAGAAACCAAAGCCATACAACACAGGGATTAAATGATGTGGAAGCTCATGCCAGCTGCAGTCTATCTATGCATTATAGCCCAATCAGAAGGTTCGGTAAATGCCGTTGTAAATTGTAATTTGTATGCAGTATTTAAGCAGAGGGTGGAGTTTGATGAAGAAATAAAATGAGTATCATGCTTTTTTTAAAAAAAATGACACAACTATGAAAGCACGGCTCAGTCACAAACTTTCCTTTCAAAGTAGAGGGGTGAAAACAAGGCCACAGCTCCGGAGGAGGCGGCCCCAGCTCCATGAAGAGGAGAGGGAACCAGTGAACAGGCCAGAAGCCCCCCCTCCCCTAATTAGACCTACAAGTGCAATAAATCTCACTCCTCTTTTTCCATGCTAAGCTTCCAAAAGGATGATGCAGCAATGAATCTACTCAGGGTACTCCAGTCCCCAACCCTCCCCCATTTCAAATAAAGGGAAGGAAAAGATGGAGGGGAAAGTGAGATGCAAAAACACAGACACAGAGTTTTCTGGGGGAAGTAAGCACCCTCCCCAAGTTCATGCCAGCACAGCGCAAGCATCCTCACGCACACGCGGGAAAGAGACACACATCGAGCACATCCAAGACAGAGGAAGAAGGGGATTTTAAGCCACAGCTCACGATCCCAGGGACACAATCCCGAGCAGGCAGCGAGAGGGATGGAGGAGCCAGGGAGACGAGCGCAGGCCGGGAGGGGGAGGCAGCGGCAACGAGCTGGGGGGGGGGGGGCGGGATGCCGGGGGAGGAAGGCAGCGGGGACAGGGGAAGCTGGGACGGGCCAGGACTGCAGGAGCCCCAGCCCCATACAGCAGCCACCTCTGTGAGAGAGAAAGAAAGAGGGCCGGGAAGGCGGGCGAAGCTGAGGGAGAGAAGCAGAGAAGAAATATTCACCTTCCCGCCTCATGCCCACTTTGAGGCACTTCTTGAGGCGGCAGTATTGGCACTGGTTGCGGTGGTGCTGGTCGATGGGACAGTTCCTGTTGGCACGGCATGTGTAAGTTAAGTCCCCCGGACGCTCCTATTGAAGAAACTTTTGCAGCCCTGGCAGGTGAATTGGCCGTAGTCTTGCCGCTCGACT